CTTCAGCCATTCCTCCACAATGCTGCGCAAGTCACTTCATTGCACTCCAGTCGTTGGCACAAGAAGACATCCTAATCGGCGGTAGCGGCGCCATCCACCGCCTCCCTGTCGGGGAGTTCCTGAAACAATAGGCACAGTTTCAGTGAATTGCTGTATTAGCCGATCCGGCGACGGTGTCGAGCTTTACGGACACACAGGTGAGGGGTCGAACTCGTGGCGGGGTCATTTTTGGATGTGAGTTCCTATGCAGGTGCGTTTGTGAAGGAAACCTCTTATCTGAGGACCAAGTTGACATGGTTCAATTAGGATTCGATGTTGTGGCTTGTGGGAAATTCTGCGATGAAGCTCTAGTTGGGATGATGCAAATGTCACCCAAAAGCCATTTCCACCCGCAGTTATTCAGTTTCACCCTCTATTAATTGCACACCAGTACCTGTGTCGTGCACAGGTCGTACCGGTCCAGGTTTTGGTCGATAAGATAAGTAATTCTGTCTCAGATTTTGGCCAGTTCATTCGGATTTTTCTGAATTCGAAGGTCGTCATCTAAGGAAGTCAAGGGACGATGCGGACTTCCTCGTGGACAAACAAAGACCTCAACTAGTTGTAAATTCCATGTATTGATCGCAAATTCCAGAAAATATCTCTAACGCTCATTATAAGGCACTGCATTTTGACGGCTTCTGGAGCCACGTGTGTCCAGATTTGGCGAGCCTTAGCCGAGATCGGTCGAGACGTCTCGGCAGGGCCAGGCAGACCTTGCCGAGACGTCTCGACCGATCTCGGCTAAGGCTCGCCACATGGCTCCAAAGCCGTCAAAATGCAGTGAGGTAAACCACGCAGAACGAAAAAAATGTAATTCTTTGATAGACCCGCACCACTACACCCTCCATTTTTTTTCGGAGCACGAGAATCCTGGAATCGGACGTCGGGAATACCCTAGTGACCTATCAGCCTCAACCGATCAGCGGGCGGGAGCCTGGATGAGACGGGTGGTGGTTCCTCGTGGGTCCTCAAGCCTCCCAATAATTGCGGGAACTTTGGCAGCAAGACAGATGATCTTGCTCTTCATTGCCCTAGGGGAACGGTTTCTGTCTGAAAGTAGGGTTGCTACTAGACCAGAGGTATGGGCCGTTGCCTCTGACGTTCCGAATCCCTGGATGAAGTTCTGGAAAAAAAGTTCACACGGATTACTAGATGAGGTAATTTCAGGGCTGACATTAGGATTGTTGTGGTCAGTGGTTGGCACCCAGCTGCCGGGTGCGAAAACTGTCAAACAAGCCCCGTAGTTCGAACTTCCGGCTTTGCTGTCGTCGACATCCATGTTCCCAACTGTAATAGGTCCACGTCCTCCAGGTCCATCTGTGAATCCCGATTAGTCGTGGTTGCATGCATAGATAATTCGACAAGTTACCGTCATTCCCAATTCGCACTGCACAACGGTCTGTTGAACCATTTCCCGCCGAATTGACGATATGCAATCCAGCTGCAAGGACCTGCCACACACTTACATGTAAGCCTGCAACACAGCTCCATTCTTTCGCTCACACTTTGAACCACTTGCAGCATGTTATCCGGCTGGTTCTTGAACATGCTTACGGAGATGCTGATGACCCCACGTCCTCCATGGGCCTGTGCATGCTGAAGGGCAAAATTGAGACCGTTGATAATACCCATTTGGCTGACGTGTTCATTATCTCCCGCCTTTACAGGTATGATATTCGCGGATCTGGCCACCCCGACATTTTGGCCAGCAATAATCCCTTGGAGGTTTCGGTGACTGGTGTCGCTCTTGTATTAAGGCGATGAAGAGCCCTAACTAATGGTCAAGCCAAGTTTACCGAGGACACGAATCTGATTTCGCACCAAGTGTTTGTCTGTGTGGTCTCATAGTCCAATATCGTAGCGTTCCCAACAATCGGGGTCGGGATAGTCGAATCCAACTCCGTCCAGGTGTTAGGAGCCACGCTCTTCACATCCGGCGATTTACTAATTGCATCGATGACGGAGGGCCCAAAGACTCCGCCATACATGGAAAGTTTTTCGAACAGGGGTCCTTCGAGAACCACCCGGGATGCCATCGCGTTTATCCCCGTCAGCCATCAGAACGCGAACTCTGGCCATGTGGGCTGTGCGATCTACCCCGGGATTCAGATGCACAAAAAATTGATTGGGAACAGGGTCGCCGGGTGTGGGAGCCAGGTTATCCTGCATATAAACCGGACGGACAGGGAAGCTGTATCCAGGGGTTGCCGGAGCGAGCGGCGTCTAAACATTGTACATGGAATCGTCTTGGAAAGAGGGCGGTTCTTGTTCACATTCGACATCGTCCTCCTCAAAATCCTACAGCCATTTCGAATTCAGCTCCGTTGCAGAACGTTGGATGAGGGGGGGCGGGGTGAAATACATACGTCCAGGGCTCTTGCGAAGCTGAAGTATAGAAGAATGAGCAGCGAAACTTGAATGACGCGGGAGAACATGTTTAGTAGTGGGGACAGAGAGATGGGATGCAGAACCCTCGACTCGGCCTTAAATATTCCTGTGTCGGTACATATTCTGAGCTATGTCAACCGGTCGAGAATTTGGTTATATGGAGTTGGTTGTCGCCGGACATGTTGTGCGAGTGTTTCAAAGACCGTAACAATATTATTCACCCCCATGGGCAAGTTGATTTCAGCGAGAAGTTATCGGCATATGTACATGTACTCGGGAGCTTTCATTATGTCACAATTTACTCTTCCCATGGCTGCGGCTCACTCGGCCGAGAATTTGTTTCTATTCAATAAACGAACTAGTAGTATACAGGACGTGTGTACCTGTTCCATGGCATTTTCTCCGAAAACCAAATATATATCCGAGCGGTGGAGATAGCCACTAGAAAGTGCTGTAAGGTGTCCGCGTCCCCCCAAGCCTGGGAAGCGCCAAGTGAGGATTTGTTGTCGCACCCGAAGTTTGACATAATATGAAATTGTTAGCAGCTATCGCCGCTGCTGCTGTTCGAAAGCTGACGGCCCTTCAATTTGGATTGCCGTCATCCTCACATCTAGCACCGAGAAGTACCTTTTCTGTTGAAAATACCAAGTAACATGAAGCATCTCAATTTCATTTCGGGTCCGCACTTCGTGCTCTCGATATCAGCCCTTGGCGGAGACTCTGTGCGTCGTTATTCATCGTCAGTATTGCTGGTATACGCAGAACAATTTTCTCATCGCGACGTAACGCTTGTCGTTGAATTTTACCCCTCAAAACACGTACTTACCAGTCCGTCACATCAATTCAACCTTATTATTCCGCTGCTAACTCCTGCGACACCCGTACCCTTCAGGCAACGGCGCCAGAGAATCGGAATCGATTCTGAGAATCTGCAAGGTACGGTGAACATTCAACTCCCGCCTGCACTGTTGTGTTCCTAGGTATCTGACGGACGCCTCCTCCCAGTACTTATAAGGATCTACCTCGCCCTAGTCCGGTGTTCAAACACATCGTGAATCAGCCAGCTACTAGTCTTGTGGTTGTACACGGAATATCCACCTGTTCTCACACGGGTGTCAACCCCGATCTGATCAAACGCTCGGAATATACCAAGAACGCGCTGGGCTTCATTCTTGGCCTCTGGTCTGCGCAAAATCCACAAAGTCAACCGGAATATAAAAAAATGGACGGCCACGGCGGTTCGCGTAGCCGTGCACCGGGGATAGCACATGTGGACAATTTTCCCTTTCTCAAGACTTGAGATAATTCAACCTTCGCCCTGGTAGACGTCGGGGGCAGGCGTCGAAGGTCGAAGAAGGTGGAAGGAAAAAGGAAGTAAAAAGATAACGCACAAAATCTGATATTCGGACGCGGGGAGTCGAACCCCAGACTGCCGATTTGCACGTTTGGAGTATTCCTCACAATACCCGGCGGTGTTCCGCACACCACGTCCGACTTTGACTTCCCAGCGACACGGCGTCTATAGAAGATGGTCCATTATTCTTGTAGCCTGAAAGCTCAATAAATCCCACCCAACATGGGTCCGGACCAAACGCCTGAGGTGTTCTCAGAGCGAGCGGAGGTCGAGTCGGACGAGGTCGGACAGTTCAATAACTTATGTTTCAACTGTGTTCTTCGAGCGGACCTAAGAAAATAGACGTCGAGGCAGACTGAGTGGTCGAAGAAGGTGGAAAAAGGAAGAAGATGGAAGGAAGGTGGACAATGAAAGCTTAAGGAAAAAAAAAAAAATTCCTGAAAATCTCAGAATTCGGACGTGGGGAGTCGAACCCCGGACTGCCAGTTTGCACGGTTTGTGGGTATTCCTCACAGTACTCGGCGGTGTTCCGGACACCACGTCCGACTTTCGGGAGTGAGGATGGGGGAAGCTAAATGTGAATACTTACTGGACTGTACACTGGCAACATGTCCGATTATTTTTCAGCCTGAATCCCACACTTGGGTTCGGACCTGAGGTGTTCTTGAGCGAAGGTCGAGTCGATATCAGTTCAGGATATTCCGACTGGACATGATCGTTGCTGCTGTACAAAATAGACGTCGAGAGTAGGCGTCGAAGATGTAAGGGGGAGAAAAAAAACCGCACTTTCTCGACATAATTCGGACGCGGGGAGTCGAACCCCGAACTGCCAGTTTTCACGCACTGTGTTGCCAAAGAAATTTCACGCTACCCGGCGGTGTGCCGCACACCACGTCCGACTTTAAATTGGGAGTGAAGATGGAGTGATACCCAAGGATAAATAATCTGACAATGTGAGCACTTACTTGGCTGTCCGATTATTCTTGTAGCTCAAAATCTCGGGTTTGGACCCGGGGTATGCTCAGTGAGCCGAGGATGAGTCGGATGGAAGGTTCAATATGTTTCGACTGTGTTCTTCGAGCGGACCTGATTCAGACAAAATGGATGCGGTGAAAGTCGAAGAAGGAAAAAGGAAAAGAAAAAAGTCGCGGCTTTCGCCGACTCGAAGGCGGAAGGAAGGCGGAAGGAAGAAAAAAACACTTCACGAAATCTTATATTCGGACGCGGGGAGTCGAACCCCGGACTACCAGTTTGCACGATGTTTTCGAAGACTTACAATACCCAGCGGTGTCCCGCACACCACGTCCGACTTTAAATTGGGAGTGATGAGCCCTACTCAAGGATAAATTGGACGACGACAACGTGAATACTTACTAGGCTGTCCGACTATTCTTGTAGCCTGAACTCTCAATAAATCCCACCCACTCTGAGAGCGAGCGAACCTCGAGTCGGATGGAAGGCTCGATGTTGCGACTGTGCTCTTCGAGCGGACCTGAGATAATGGACGTCGAGGGCGAGGGCAAGCGTCGAAGCTGGACGATGAAAGCTCAAGAAAAAACAACTGTGTCCCCAATGTTCATTCGGACGCGGGGAGTCGAACCCCGGACTGCCAGTTACACGTTTTCATCCTCTTCACAATACCCGGCGGTGTTCTGTACACCACGTCCGACTTTTGGGAGTGAAGATGAGAATGGCGATGACAAGAGCGATACCCAACTTGAAGGATAGATTGAAGCTTCCGCGCCAGGGAGTCAATATTATTGTGAAGTCGGATTTCTTGAGTGGTCAGAAGAACCGAGGAAAATAATGCCTATGTTCCGACGGGTTGGTTGGTGATGAAAGAATTCGAGCGTATGGTGGAAACCAATGATCAAAGCACTGTAATCGTTAATTAATGTTAATTGCCTGGCTATATTCAGCCTGCTTTGGAAAAGCGACAGTGACAATGGAGTTGTAGATGTGCCGTCGGTTACAGTGATGTCGCACATCCGATGGGATAATTTCAAACGGGGAGCCTTATGCACCCAAACCATTCACGCACGACTTCGCTCGGACTAGAACTCAAATATTGCATCGATTGTACAAACTCTCTTTTTTACAGATTCAGACATACACGTTCGTCGAAATTCTCGACCGCCGTACACAACACTCAGTAGTCCCCGTAGTCATCCAACTTCTTCTCGACGTGCTTGTTCGCTGTATAATAAAAATTGCATCAGCCATGCGTGCGTGCGGTTGACCCGCCCCCCCCCCCAAAAAAAAAAGGAATACAAACTCACCGTTATGCTTGGCCTTCTGCGCCTCGACGGCGTCCAACTACCGGAGAGGTCAGCAAATTCGAAAGATAGAGTAGAGTAGACGGCAGGAGATGAGATGGTACGCACGCCCTTGCTCTCGACCATGCGGTCCACGAACGCACCCGCGAACCCGGCGAGGAGCTCCTTCGCGAGCGCGTGGCTCGCGGGCTTCCCGTTCTCCTCGCAGTGCTTCTCGTATGCCTTTGCCGCCTGGCGGTGGCGATTAAGAGGCTTGTCAGCAAGAGCGAAACGGACAAAGAGCGACGCACCTCGAACGAAGCAGCGGCGGCGATGAGCTCGTGCGATGTCTTGGCCTTGTGGTGCTCGGGGTGGCTGGAGTCGGTCACCTGTCGCAGTGTCGGAGTCGGTCGTCAGGAGGCTATTCATGTATAGATCGATATCGATGAAGTCAGACTGACCGCAGCGTAGGCTTCGGGCTCGGACAGATCGTGGCCTTCATGTTTGTGGTCGAACCAACCCATATTGATTTCGTGTGGATGGATGTAGGAGGAGGAAGAGAGCGATGCTAGGGTTGACCGGAGCGTGATGGGTTATATAGGACGAGGTTACGGATATCCCCGTTTGGGCGCGGGGATGGCCAATCAAGGACGAACCATCAATCAGTGACTTCGATTGACAGATTCGTCGCTTAGACCAATCTGGGATGATCTGAGATAAGATAATCCAAGCCAACCTAACCAGTTAATTTTTAGTATGATACTACTAGTCAACCAGGTGCGGCCGCCTGCCAAAAAGACCACCACGGAATCGCGGTTTGGCGAGGGCGAACCGCGCGCGATGAATGGATCAGACCCGGGGTTGATCTGGGCTCATCAATGACTGTAAATTAAAAGTACGGATCAGACTCCGAAGTACTCACTCCGATCAGGCACTCGGCCAATTCGGCCAAGTACAGGTTCAACCAACGTTCAGGATTTCTACCTTTCACTCTGACGGTATCATTCTAAATCATTCTCCAGAGACATCTGTCATCCACGTCACTTTTCCAAAGCGATTGCCTCCGGACTCTTTGTTGCTGCTAGGCAATAAATAACGATTGCAGTGCCTTGATCATTGTGTCATTGGTTTCCAAACTACGGCATTAATATAGAATGGCTGTACCGCTATCCCTCAACGAGCCGAGGTATGAAGTCGGCTCTATATATAGTGTTGCCATTTTTAGTTTTAGTCGCTGGGCCTCATAAGTATTTGTTGAATTTATCCTTAGGCATGCCTCATCACTTTTCCCTATCCTCACTCCTAAAGTCGGACGTGGTGTACGGAACACAGCCAGGTATTGTGACTGTCCTAAAGCGTGCAAACTGGCAGTACAGGGTTCGACTCCCCGCGTCCGAATGCGATGGAATCATTTGTTTTCTTCGTTCCACCCTGGAGTCGGCGAAGGCTTTGACTTTTTTATTTTCCTTCGAGTCTTCGACCTTTACCGCATCCATTTGGTCTGAATCGGGTCCGCTCGAGCAGCACAGTCAAAAATTATTTAACCGTCATCCGACTCAACAAGCTCACTATGAGAACACCTCAGGCCTCAGATCCGAACGTATGTTGGGTACATTTCAGACTGCACAAATGACGGGCCATGTCGCAAGCCCCTGTGGCCTACAGTACTAAATATTCACGTTCTTAAATTATCCTTGTATACATAGGGCTCATCCCTCTTCCTCATTCTCCTTCAAAAGTCGGACGTAGTGTGCGGAACACCGCCGGGTATTGTTAGGATTTACGTAACTAAACGTGCAAACTGGCAGTTCGGGGTCCGACTCCCCGCGTCCGAATGTGATGTGGATATTGGACTTTTTCTTTTCCTTTCATCGTCCAGCATCGACGCCTGCCCACGACATCCATTTTATCTGAATCAGGTCCGCTCGAGGAGCACAGTCAAAAAATATTTAACTGTCATCCGACTCAACAAGGCCACTATGAGAAGACGTCAGGTCCGACCGTCCGAGCCCACGTTGGGTAGGGTTCATCGTGATTTCAGGCTGCACGAATAATGGGCCATGTTGTACAGACCTTATCGCCTAGTAACTATTCATGTTGTTAACTTTATCTTTGAGTAGGGCTCATACCTCTTCCCTATCCTCACTTACAAAAGTCGGACGTGGTGTATGGAACACCGCCGGGTATTGTAAGTCTCCAGCAGAGCGTGCAAACTGGCAGTTCGGGGTTCGACTCCCCGCGTCCGAATGTAGGATTTCGAAGAGCATTTTTTTCCGTTCTTCCGACCCTGCGGCCTGAGCTACGACTCACCCACATCACCCAGAGTGGACTCTGCGCATCCACGTTCAACGTTTCAACCCCTAACCTTTTTTAGGGTCCGCTTGACGACGAGGAGCAGAATATTGAACCTTCCATCCGACTCGACTCGATCTCCGCTCGCTCTGAGAACATCCCATGATCAGGTCCGAACCCATGTCGGGTGGGATTTATTTTGATTTCAGAGTGCGAAAATAATCGGCCATGGGGCAAGTCCGAAATTGGACTCCGGGTTCGAACCAAACAGATGGTATTATATGTTTTTCCCTTGAGTCGAGGTCTTTGTTGCTGAAGATAGCCAGAACGATTGTAGTACTAGTACTTTTATAATCGGCTTCCGCGATACGGTATAGTTGCTCGAATTTCTTCAGTACCAAGCACCAAGCAACACTGATTATTGTGGGCATTCCGTACCTCAGTTTTTCAGGTTCAAGCAGTCCGACTCACAGTAATATTGACGGACTGCTCCAATTTATCCTTAGGCATGACTCGTCACCCAACTCATTCTAACTCCCTACAGTCGGATGTGGTGTACGGAACACAGCGAGGTATTGCAGCCCTTGAAAAGAACGTACAAACTGGCAGTCCGGGGTTCGACTCCCCGCGTCCGAATGCGATGGAATCATTTGTTTTCTTCGTTCCACCTTCGATTCGGCGAAGGCTTCGACTTTTTTTATTTTCCTTTTTCCTTCGAGTCTTCGACCTTCACCACATCCATTTGGTTTGAATCGCGTCCGCTCGAGGAGAACGATCGAAACATATTTAGCCGTCATCCGACTCGACCGTCGTTCACTCCGAGAACATCTCAGGTCCGGACGCATGCTGGATGGGATTTATTTTTATTTCAGGCTGCACAAATAATCGGACAACCTGAAGTTGTGCAGTCCCGTCGCCTAGTCCAATTTACTCCTGGGTATCGCTCATCACTCTTCAATTACCCATCCTCACTCCGTCGGACGTGGTCAACAGAACACCGCCGGGTATTGTGACGGTGATCACATATAAAAATGTGCAAACCGGCAGTCCGGGGTTCGACTCCCCGCGTCCGATTTCCGAGACTTTTAGGATTTTTTTCCTCCTCATCGGAAAAGATCACCTGCCCTCGACGTCTATTTTGTGAGGTCCGCTCGAAGAGCAACCATCAGGTCGCAGTCGAAAGATAGGCTCGACCTCTTTTCACTCGACGTTACTTGAGCTGAAGATAGCCAGAACGATTGCAGTTACTAGTACTTTTATAATCGGTTTCATATCACTCGAATTTCTTCAGCACCAAGCAACACTGATTATCGTGGGCATTCCGTACCTCAGCTTTTCAAGTTCAAGCAGTCCGACTCCACAGTAATATTGACGGACTGCTCCAATTTATCCTTAGGCATGGCTCCTCACCCAACCCATTCTAACTCCCTGCAGTCGGATGTGGTGTACGGAACATAGCGAGGTATTGTAACCCTTGAAAAGAGCGTACAAACTGGCAGTCCGGGGTTCGACTCCCCGCGTCCGAATGTGATGTGGGTATTCTTTTTTCTTTTCCTTTCATCGTGTAACTTCGACGCCTGCCTTCGACATCCCTATTGTAGGCTCCGCTGAAAGAGCTTAGAGCAATGAATATGTCCCAGTCGAAACCTATTTAATCGTCATCCGACTCGATGAACCTCCGCTCACTATGAGAACACCTCAGGTCAAGTCCGAGCACATTTTAGGTGGGGTTAATTTCGATTTCAGGCTGTAAAAATCGGATGTGCTCCGGGACTCCCCGTCTTCCTTGCCCGAGTCTTCCACTCAGGCAAGCACGTCTTGCCTGAGCTCCCAAATCAACAAGACTCCGGCTGTTGCCGCCGCACCCTGTCGGGACAATCCGGGACCATTGTTCTTCCAACTTCTCATCGTTGAAGTTGTCTGACGCTTTGCCCCCAGCCACTCAGTGAGGATCCAGCCACTGGGCAATCCAGATTCCCCATCTAGTGAATGGGAGTCGAATTGAAACCTCTGGAGCAGCGCTCGTGCAGCGACGCTTGTTTTCTCAGTGCTCACAGCATTGCGCTGGGAGTGCGGCGTGCGGCACGGTGCCCTGGGAATTCCGAGTCCAAAAGCTCAACAGCTGATGTTTTTTTAAAAGTGAAATCTGTCATTCCGGCGCTCAGTATCTCTGCTCCTTTCATCACCATCGACGACGATCTATGGACAACGCACCCTATGCGGATGCTGGGTCTGCCTTTGATTCGACTCTGGAGGATCCTGGATTCCTTTCGTGAGCACTTCTCGTCTCTCTAATCCAGGTGGCTCGTATCTCACGGCGTGTAATCCAGGAACGGCGGCGCCATCTTTTCCGGATCGCAGCAATTCACTGTAGCTGGCGGTACCTTCACAAGTATCACGAACGTTCAAACTGCTCCACCCGCTGTGACTCCTGGTCGATTAGTTTCGCCACACTTTCCAAAAATATGCTGAATAATATTTCTCAGATTTCCGAACGATTCCTCTTGGAGATATATATCTTCAAGAAGAAATAGCACCAGAGCGTGGAATGCGCACCGTTGCGCGCCTATGGGATCGAGGTTCCGTTCGTTGTGTGTACTCTGCCAGAGTCATGGGCCTAGAAGGCAATATGACGGTGGCCATGTACCAGGGGCACGGCGCAGAGGAGGTATGTTGTATTGTTACAACCCGATATATTAATTTGATAGCAATGGCGCAATGATATTACACGGTACTCGTGGCTCCGGTGAGTGTGAAAATCTGTGCGTTCTGGCGATGTTGATGAATGTACGTCAGCCATCCATATCTCCTTCAATTGTGGGGTATAACACCTTCATCTTCGATACACGCCGCAGTCTTTCATAACGGTGCGCCGTACTAGAACATTTTCGAATGCGATTCAGTGAGCTTGACCCTCAATCAGATTTGATACCGTACAAACATTTCCTGGACCATTATCGCCATTCCCATTTTTTGACATCGTATATCGATTCTATCTGTGTATGTGCATCTCTCACTTTCCAACCGTATGCTCATTTGACTGCAGATCAATGAGTTCAAAGTATGAAAGTCCGGCTCGGAGTCCATTTAAAGTTGCTGAAACTGTTATAGGAGGTGCAAAATTATTTCAACTCCGTTTCTCAACCGTCCTTGGTAATTCTAGTCATCGGACTGGTACCTCATTCCATGATAATTGTTCTAGGAGGGCAGCGACTGTACAATGTGGATATGTCCCTCAACTGGCCGCCTCTGTGTTGACCTCGTACCGGACGAGATCAAGTGGTATTCAGCGCTGGGCAGCTTACCGAGCACTCGTGGATTCATTCTTTTCAAATCTCGAGACCAGGATACCATAGAAGTCGATTCTCTGATACTAGAGCAGGATCATGACATATGTTATTGGGAGCTGTCACGGTTTGGGCCCATCACTACCGATCTGACAGTGAATCTTGGCCCTGTATTCGTGTGCTCCTTGGGTGAACAGCTCGAAGCCACCCCTGACAAAGCATCTCCACCAAAAAGACAGGTCGATGTGGGTTTCTGGCGTAGAACAAAAGGAGAGGTAGTGGAGAATGGCTGGACACGGTATGTCTTTTTATTTTATCTGGAAAGCACTCTATCTTGACCATATTTACTTCTAAAGTTTGAGCTGTGGTGACGTATTGAACAGCGCTGGCCCGGCAAACGTATGGTGCCCCCATAGCCAGTCGCTATCTTGGCTCGGCCAAGGGAATCATGTTTTCAACTGCCTCCAGATCACATCCGAATTTGAGAATTATTGTACGTGTTCAACCCACGATTTGGATTCAAGTAGAACTTGTTTGCATAGCTGTTGTTCAAAATCTGTTGTTAAAGATTCAAGTTTGGGAAGAAATCCCCTGTGGCTATCTATTCCTCCGCCAGAAACGGATTTTCGCATCGGAGTATCGTCATTCAGATGGCCCGATTGTCCGGCTTATTGGTCGCGGGACCCTTCGGGCGTCGAACGTCTCAGCACGGAGGAGGCAGCACGTCTCGGGTATCCCTCCATAGAGGTCACATTACTGGCGTGCGGACGGCGATCGAGTGATGGTATATCTGCTGGTCTCCGTCAATTCCATCGGGAAGAAGGGTTTGACCGAAACAGCGAGGACTGCCAGGACTTCGCGCACCATCTTGGGGAGATGCTTCCGTTTTACAACGGTGAGCGAGCCTTGAAATTATTCTGTTCTTGATAAAATAATGACGGGTGGATCCCGATGAAGACGAGGTTGGTCAACCGGAGGCATCGAATCGTGACGACCCATCCCGGCTCTCGAAGCTTCTTAAATTCATGATAAATATTCAGCTAGCGCTCATTGTTTTCCTTGCCATCCTCTGGCTCTACGATCAAGTGTGGGACATATTTTTTTCTCTGCACTTCAGATAGCATACGGTACTATTACTGGATTATCACTCGTTATGTGGTTGGCACTGGTTGCTACACTATGTCGACAAAAGAAATGTCACATCAGTTTTTGGACTATATCTCAACATTGAGACAACATTTTTGGGCCAACTAAAGGGATAATTCTATTTGGCAACCCCCCTTCTTTGGCAACCCCACTGTAAATCGAGGGGTTGCCAAATAGAACCAGATGATTTGTCAGAACTCTTATGATGGCGGCTGATGGCGGGCGAGGCGGGATAGGGCGGGAAGTAGCCCAGTCCCTCCTAACAAGGAAGATACAATGAAACAAATACTCGAAAAATTCACTCGCAAAGACATTCATCCCAGGCAGCTATTCGAATTTTCTTGGGGCTCTGCTGTGTACAGTGCCGAAGATTTTCAGGTGTTTTGCGCTGCCACTCGCTTGAACAGGTGAAAAGTGTTCAAAAAGAGCCCAGGAAATCGAGAAAAAAACTGAGGGTGACAATGATTCAAGATCCAGCCACATTTCGTCCCTGCACAAGGGATGGATACCCCTCATTGACTCTCCAAGCGGCGGGAGAGTGATTTAAACTCTTTTTCTTCCTTATCTTATCTCTAACTTGGGGTTGCTAAATAGAAGATTTCCATTTGGCAACCCAGGGTTCACCGGCAAGGGGGGTTGCCAAATAGAATTATCCCAACTAAAGTGTAGCATGGAGAAGGAGCTTACGGACCGTTCTGTAACAGTGATGAGATCAAAATATATTGATGCGCCATCACTTGAGACCGAATACGGAAAAACTGGAAACCCGATTTTTTTTTCTCGAGCTAGGATCTTTTTGAGCACAAGCTGAAGCAATCAGATTGTAGGCCATGATGCTCTCTACCATTCCACATTTTGAAATGTGCAAAAATATACAGGGGATAGTGAGATATGTGGCCTACAAAATGGCAACAAATGGCCAAAAACATCAATCCACATGAACTTCTGCGTACATGATGATGATGATTCTGCGAAGTCAATTTTTCAGAGAGCCCTTATTTATTTTATTCAGGGTCAATGACAGAGGTGAGATATTGGGAAAACTATGTGAAAGTTCATTGAAGCACTAGAACTTCATGGCAGGATTTTATTTGACATGATTTAGTCAAGAAATGAACCCAAACGGCTTTGGACAAGTTTTTTGCCGCAGCTTTAAGAACCAATGGGCAAGCCGTCGTTCGAGACCGCTACGTCTTGGTGGCT